CGGGGGGGGGGGGGGGGGGAAAGAAGAAAGGGGGGAAGATTGGCTGGAGGAACTTCTTTCAGCCATGTCAATTGACTGGTTCTTTAAAATAAATAATCTAAGCGCACGAACTGAGGTTCCAGCTGTAAGGTCCTATTGCACAGAACAAAAATACATATCTTGCAAAAGTAAAGCTTATAACAATTGAAAAATTATAATTTTTGGGAAGGTAGCAACACAGAAGTAGATTGATCTTCAAAAAGGTTAACAACATCAAAAGAGCTGTGTGAACAAACAATCCTAGAAGAACTAAATTCCTTGTTTAGTTGTCAACATATACCAATTCTGGATGTGATATTGCTGACTCCCAACATGTGTTGTGAAGAAACACCAAACCAAAATCCTAAATAGAAGTGATGAGGTTTCTCCACTATCACTGTGTTTCCCTTATGTGCTATGCTGATGAAGAAAGAAATAGAAGTGACAGATTTCCCTTATTATCCTCTTACCTCACCTACTTTTTGTTAAGCTTAAACATTATCTCCTTCTCAACCATCGAAATAAGAATTGTCAGAACAGATATTAGACTTGAAAACTTTAAGATCTCAGGTAGGGGAGGCATTTAAGGGCATGTTTAGGTTACTTCAATGTGCTGTTTCTATATGTTCTCCTACAGCAAGGATTATCATACTCCTTCCCTCCTCGCTTCATTCACAACCTTTCAACAACTACACTTCAGCAATTCCAGGTTCAGAAATTTAGGCATATTAGTCATACCACGTGACATCTCCTTGAAAAATTTTCATTACATGAAACGCATGAATCAAAGCTAGCATTCACTTTCTAGAGTCGTATAATTACATTGTCGCATGTGTTTACCAAGTGCTTTAAATAGAGATTTCAGAACTCAACCCACTTTCATCATTTTATGTCAAAAAAGCACATTCATTGCCACAAAGAAATTATCTGAACATACTTATGGGCCTATATAAGATATTAGTTATTGCTCGTGCTTGAAGGCACTGTATGACAAAAAAAAATCAACTAATAAAAATGAGCATTAGCAAGAGAAAAAAGCGATGCACATAATGATAATAATAAATATCTAAAGCCGATGAATATATAAAAAATGTACAAAATTACCTCTAAAAATATAACTCAAAAAATTTAAACATATACACAATTACATATTTTATCATCATACCTTAAAAAGCTATTACTCATTACATATTATTAATTTACCCATAGTAGTAAAAAGATTAATTAAGATACATATCAAATAAAAGAACGCTTTTTGATATCAAATAAGCACTATCTCCATATGGTTAAAGTGCAAATCTTCATTCTCAATCAACCTGATCTGACATATAACTATTAATTTTCAAATACAAATGCACACCATAGAAATAGGTATAAAAGAAATTATGAAGCATCAAAACATTCAAGAGAATGTCTAAAAAATTGCTCGAAAATAACATTGGTTCTATAAATAACTTGAATTCCAATAAGTTCCAGGCATTGAAATTGTACACAGCAAACTATTGAAGCACTATTGCATTTGAAGCAATTAAAGTAATTAAAACCAATCCCCCTCACCTCTCCTTTCTCTCTCCTACCTCAAAACCCCCATGCCCACATTTTCATTGGCAACAAAATTGAAACAAAAAGCAATAAACTGAAGTGTAGTCAAGAATATCATAGAGGACAAAGTCTTGAAAAAACTAAGACAGACCAATTAGATTAGAGTCATTAGACCTAATTAATCATTTTTGTTGCAAATAATCAAAGCTCAACCATGAAACTGCTTTAATTAAGTAACAGCAGCCAACTGTTGAACCAATACAACCATCAACCAATTAAAGAATTTAATACCGCTAGAGAAAATCCAATACAATCACCAAATAGTATAATGAACACACCTCCAGAGAGAGATTCATTCAAAGTTAGTAAGCTTAAAATAAAAGAAAAGAAGAAAACGAAGAAGCAAGGATGGTGCTGGAAATATCGAGAAGGGTAACAAATGAACATTTAAATTTATCGAATTACCTCATCAAGTAAATATCAAATTCACATTTAAATTTATCAAAACACCATTCAATATCAATCAATTTTAGTAAGATTTCATCAAATTAACCTAATTCCAAAATCCCCAATACCCAATAAATTAACTACAAAGCACACACATGGTGTTGCGGGCATGGGGGTTAGGGGGATGGGCGTTAGTGTGTTTGGGTCGTGGCTGGTGGTTCGATTTAGCATGAAGAGAGAAAGGTAGACAGAAATAGAGAAGAAAATTCAAAAAAAAAAAAATCTTAATAACCGGGATTTTGTGAGTTGCAAGCAGAGAGAGTTCGAGGCTTCGAGTGGATGAGAGAGAGGTCGATTTGAGTAGGGCTAAAATGGGAGGCAATTTGAAATCCTTCGTTGATTTAGGGCTAAAATTGGGGCAAATTAAATCTATCGATCTGGAATGGAGAGAGAGAGAAGAGAAGACTTACATTCAATTGTTCATTACTGAGATCGATTCCCTTGCTGTGTTTGAGACTTCGCCTGCCTTGCTTGAGTTCGGAGGTTGCCTAATGGGGATCTGGGTCAGGGGTGTGTCGTTGGAGCTCAAAGAGAGAGAGAGAGAGAGAGAGCGGAAGAGTATTGTCGTGTCCACGTGAGGGAGAGAGACAGCGAGGAGAGAGAAGGATCTCGACATAGAAAGTGAACAGATCTGGACGTGAGAGAAAAATGAGAGTGTTCTGGAGAGAAAGAGAGAGTGTTCTAGAGAATTTTGGAGAGAGAGAGTGTTCTGGAGAGTTTTGGAGAGTGGAGAAGATATTGAGTGTGTGAGAGAACAGTGAGTGTGTAAGAGAACACGTGAGTGTGTGATGAAGAGATTGGGCAGGAATCTCAAAATTGTTAGAGGTTAATATCAACCCGTAGATCAGATTTAGACAAATTTAGAAACGATCTAAACCGCAAAAAACAAAAATCATTTTGTTTATCTTTTGAGATTTAAATTGTAGCCTACTTTATTATATAGATTAGATTAATAATAAAACATATAGTCTTACTTATACAATGCAAGACAACGGCCTAGATCATTTTAATCTGATAACCTATATTACGAATTATTATCGTTGGCTTATTTTACGTCTTATATATATTAACCTTTTAACTACATTGACTCAACCCATTTACATTTAATCTTTTAAGCCCAGTAA